GCGCACTTCCGCCCTGCGGGCCACAGGGCAAAATCGCCATAGGCCAAGGTGCATATAGAAACAAGGAGCATTACGCCCAATCTGTGTCGAGTTTTCAGGACGAAAACGCAGCTGTGTGGTCGAGCTTTTTGTACCCCGAAGTGTTTTTTTATTGCCCTACGCGATTTCCACAGGTTCTGGAATAATGACTCTTACAGCTTTGCCTTGCGCCCTCCTCTTGGTGTGGGCTTCAAAAGAAATCAGCCCACATGCTGAAAGGGGGCTTTTTATCTGCCATCTAATGGCTTCAGAGCGATAATACACTATTATCTTCTTAAACCAGGAAAGGGGGGGATTTTTCAGAAAAATTAAAAAAGAAAGTTTTTGTAGCTGTTCAGTTGCCACTAAGAGATTGCACAGTCAAACCGACTCTAAACACACTAGTTTGGATTCCTAAATATTTTCAAGAAAAGAGTCTTCTCGTTTGAAACTTTGAATTAAAATAAAACACATTTACTCCACGTATTTTTTAACAAAAAAAGAAGTCACATCAGGAAACTATCTGATTTTGTGGTAGCTGACGTAGTGTTTTCTCGTACGTGAATAGAATCCTGACATGTAGTGCACATTGATCCATAGCTTTAACCGACTCTGGGCTTTTGCTGACCAGGGTTTGTTTAATACACTCCATTCTAGGCCAAATCAGGACAAAAAGAAAAGATCCGAATCTAGGTATTTTATAATCTGCTTTTTAACCTCTAACCGCAGAGCACGCTGATCAGACCTCATATCTTGGAGGTTTAGGAGACAAGTTAGAACTGTAGCATGTACCTGTTCATTTTGTTTAATTTATGGTGTCTCAGTCTGTGTCCGTGCGTCTGCACATGTGCGAGCATTGAAAGAAAGGAGGAAAGAGCAGGCCGGCAAGCTCACAGCAGGCAGGTCTGGGCCAGGGGCCCACCCCGCCCCGCCCCGCCCCGCGTAGACAGCAGCCTACGAGCCTCTCCTTGGCACAGAAGGCACCTCACCTCACACCGCTCTCCTGGGCACCTGATGGACTGAGCCCTCCCAGGGGAAAATGCTCCCTGGGCCTGGGCAGGGCTCGCGCGCACACCCTCTCTTTCCCTTTCTTCCCACCACAAGCACTGATGACCCTGTCGAACTCGTGGGAAGCTTCCTTCCCTGCCGAAGAGAGAACGTGGCAGTCTGGGCTCCCCTCCCGCCCCTGTCGAGACGCCCAAACTCACACCAAAACGTTGAGGCTCTTCGCTTCCAGACCAGGCCATTTGCCCTTCATCCATTTCGCCTCTTAGAAAGTTCTTTTATGCACAGTTTAGGGCAGTCTAAGTACAAATCAAAAGTCTAACTTGTCTCTGATTCCTCCTGTTGTCTATGTGTATATGCGTGAGAATAGAGGTGGATGAGTGTGTGTGTGTGTGCGTGTGCGTGTGTGTGCGCGCGCGCACGCGTGTGCAATTTTCTACGTCTGTGTATTTTCTTAAGTACCTGTGCACACATAGAGTGCATTACTGCCACCTTTTTCAATAAGCTGTTTTATCAGTTATGGCTTCTACAAGTTTGCTAATTTAGACTCCTTTATTGCCATATCTTTAAACTAACAATAGATGATTTCGGTATATATATATATTTTTTTTTGCTTATTTATAGGTGCTGTATTTTATTATCTGATTGTTAGGAAGGGATGAGAGGGGCAAATATTCTTTAGAGGGATAGACTGCCGGCAGTATTGGGTATAATTTACAAGATGTAGTTGTCATACTGTATATTACTGATTGAAAACTTTTTGACCGTATTGTGTATCATTGAAACCTTTGTCTTAGGTCAACATCTTTGGATGACATTTTAATGGTGCATTCATTATTTCTTAAGTTTAATTAATATTACTTTTTTGATTTGGGGGGTGGGAGGGAGTTATAATTTTAAAGGTATGCTCCCACTGTTACACCTCAGTGTGCTTGTTATTAATTAACTTGTAGGACTTTGACTGTAAGATGTGAAGCCACATTTCTTGCATGATGTGTTAGAGATTATGTATTTCATTTACAGTCTTTTAACCTGCAACTGCAGCACTTAGTTCGAGTTTTCACAAATTTGAGAGTCACTACACTAAAGACAATGCCTTTTCATGAATAAGAAGTTTTCAGAAGGCTCTAGGAGGCTGGGAGGCAGGCCGTTTGTCTTTTAATGGTTGCATCATTTCTGAACTCAAAATCTGGTTCGGTGAGAGGAGAATTCAAAAGGGAGGAGCTTGAGGGGAAATGGATCAACATCTGGCTCGACTCAGGGGCGTCAGGAAGAGCGAGTTCACGTCAGTGACCCTTAGGACAGTGGGTAGCAGAGCCGCCGGCAGAACTGTGGTGTCCTCTCCACGAAAACCTCGAGGGACTTTGTCATCATGTGTGGTGAATCTCTCAAAATCACCTAATTTTCGTAAGAATGAAAAGCAGGGAGTTTAACAAGAAATAGTAGGCTAGTGTTTCGTCTTCAAGGCCTGACTGTTATGTACAAAGGTGTTAAATCTGAGAAAATTTTTAAAATACAGATTTGTCCATCCTAGTGGCCAAACAGTAACAGTCCAAAACAGCCATTTTGGCCCTTCCAAGCAATTCAGTCGTTTTTGTTGTTCCTTTAAAAAAAATTTTTTTTTTAAACTAGATTGTTATTGATCTCCATTCTGTCCTTCTTGCCAGACTTACATCTGGTTGCTCGATACAATCAGTTGGTTAAATTTTGCTTGCAGTTCTGTGTTTGTACTTTTTTCTCTATTATTTATTTTTTTAAATTGAGATCCCAACCTTACGATCTTTCGAGTGAAGCTAGCACTGTCTGTAATACTTTGAAGAGCTGCCACTAAATAACACAGCAACCTGTGACTGGGGGGCACGTCTCTCCTCATTGGGCCCCTCAGTTTGAGTCTAAGGGTTAATCTTTCATCGTGATAAGCAATATTCAAGTGCCTTGAACAGTGTCCTCTCGGTGTGGCTTCCCTTCAGCTGGCTGGCGTTCTAAGCAGTGGCTCCTGCGGGCTGCCGACCCGACCCTCCTCCTCTTTCCGCTCTATCGGTTTGAAAAGCTGATTTGTACCTCTCCCCTGAGGGAAACGGTTCCGTATAAAACACTAACACTTAATTACAGGCTCCATTATACCATTTTAAATGGCTTCTTTTTGTTAATTGGAGGCAGCGTTCGTAGCCGAGGATTTCTGCCATGACTTAGCTGGCTAAGTGGAGGCCCAGCACAAAACCAGTGTTTGCATTTAGCCTCTTGACCCTTGGCTCCTGCCCACGTTCCCTTGTGGTACTGAAGCTGGCAGGTGGTGTGGGTTCTGTCCTAGACCCGTGCCCGCCCTCTTCCACCCCAGAAAAGAGTCTCTGTTCCCTCCTGGCTCCCAGGTAGCAGCCTCTCTAGAACTTCTCAGTCAGCCAGGTTGTCTGTGGTTTCTGTTCACCAGACCTCTCTTTGGAAAGGACTGTCAGAGCTATGTAGCTTATCTCAGTTATTCTCCCGGCTGACCTGCCGGAGGACATGAGGGGGCCAAGCTGTGATCGTGACTCGCAGGACCAGTACCAGACACGTAGCTCCATGTCAGTAACGGAGGCAAAAGATGGCCGTTCACAGCTCTCTGGGCCAGTTTCCTTACACTTTCAAAGCACAAATGCCTCCCTGCCCAGTTTCCTTCCCATCAGCATCTTTGTGTTTTCCCCATTTAAAAGCCATCCTGGCCAGTGTGGATGTTCAGGTCTGCTGGTCGGTGGCCCAGCCCTGAGCGCCACAGAGTTCTGGGTGAGCTGTTGCCTCTGTCTCTCTTGATGGCTGCCCTCAGGCCCAGGTGGCCAGGTCCTATACCCCAGCAACCCACACAGGAGTCAGGCTCCACTCTAATCTGGAAGGAGCGTTCTGCACATCGGCTAACTACCCTGAGATCAGGCTGCAGCCATGCCCTGAGTTAGGATGAGAACAGGAGTCCCCAGGTGAGCTCAGTCACAGGCAGGTACCTTTCCCGCTAAGGTTGGACTGGGTTTCCTTGCTCCGCCTGAGCTCGTGTCCTTTCACAGAGGGGCGATCAGTGAACTCTGTTGCCATTCTATGCAATGTTTTTCGTTCCTCTGAGAAAAACCAATTTCACTGAATGAGGAGCCAGGAAGAATATACGCATGTCCTTACTTGAGCACAAGGCAAAACGGTGACGGTGACTTACTGGATCTTGAGCCGAGGGACAAGAGCTTTTGCCTTAAACGCACTATGACAGGCGCTTCTGGGCAGGCCAGTAAGGACAAACCTACTCTTCGTCATTCCAGGGTCTCCTTCCAGCTGTGCAGGGGCCCGGGAATGTGTGGCGGGCTGGTGGCTTGGCGCCTGCTGGGCTGCAGGGAGGCTGCCCCTCCCCAGATGTCCTTCCTCACCTCCACACTCCTCCTCGTCCCCTTCTACCTCACTCACCTGTGCTCTCCATCCGATGCCACTGAGAACCACACCCCGCAGAACGCTGAGGCCCGTGGGCCCCTGGGGATGGAGAAGCTCCCAGCGTGGCGGACACTAGTGTCTCTTGGCCTGGCCTGGCCTGGCAGTCAGGCTTTCCTTTCCTCTGTTTTGGTGGGCACAGCATGGACAGACAGCTGTGCTCTGCGAGGCACGTGGATTTTCCTCTTGACTCCCACCTGTTCCTGAAGCTCTAGCAGCTGTTTCCTGTGCAGGCAGGGGGTGGTCTCGGGCCTCGGAGGGCCTGGTCTTTGCCTGCCAGTGCTTTCTGCCCATGCCTGCGCAGCTGTCAAGATCCGTCAGCGGTCTCCCTTGCCCTGGGCTGCCCCAAAATGGCCACGTGAGCACGCCTCCCCGGATTCCGAACCGGCTTTGGGGAATGCTGTGGCTCCCTCGCGTCTGTGCCTCTGGCACTGGGAGTCCTGGTTCCGGCTTCTCTGTGAGCTCCTTCGCAAACATCAGACATCTCAAGGAAGGGAAAGGATGGATGGCTTCTCTCCAGCCTACACACCCAGTCTTCAGCCATGTGACCCTTTCTTCCCAAAAGAATATGCCAGTTTCCATCCAGAGCTGAAGACAAGCCAGGGCTGCTTGCTGGATATGGTTGTGGTTGTGGTGGCCAAAGTATCCTCCCGATAGAGAATTTGGAAGTGGTAGCCTAAGGGCTTGTGTCATCATCGTGCGCTTGGGCATTTAGAAACACCCCTAGTGCTTCTGCGGTTTCATCTGGGCCTTGACGTTCGGGAAGCCTTTATGGCCACCAGGGCAGGGCGTCGTGCCCTAAGTGGCAAGGTTGTGGCCACTTGGTGGACTCTAACGTGACATCGTTCCATCTCACCGGGGTGTTGACTGCCAATCTGGCCGGCACACGTGCGTGCCAAGCAAAGGTTCCACTTGATGATCTGGCTTCTGTTCTCGTCAGGTTTTGCCTTTTTGCAGATGAAAGCTAGCGGGGAAGAGGGAAGACCAGTTCCCAATAAATTCCAGAAAGATCCAGCCTGTGACACCCTTGGAGATGGGATGGAAGCTAAGGCCAGGACCCAGGACCCTCAGGGTCAATTGGGACGAAAAGAGGGGTGCGGGGAGCAGCCGGCAGAGCATAAAATGAGCCCAGGCCCAGAGTGTCGCCCGCCCCAGAAGCCCCAGCAGCCGGTGAGCCTCACGCCTTGTCAAGGGAACAAAAGGACATGTGATTTCCTCCCGTGTGCCCCACTTCCGGGGACTGCCCCCTCCTGCCCAGACCTCACCCACCGCCACCTCCCCTCCAAAGATAACCGTGTCCACGCCGCCAGTGGCATCATCTCAAGTTTTCATTTTTGGATGAGGTGACATTTAGCTTTAACAAGACATTTCCAAAGCGCCTAGTCTGTTCCAAAATGCCAACTTTAAAAGTTAGGCATTGTAGGCGAAAAATCCTGAAAAAAGGCTGGTGAGAGAAAGACATGAGGCTATGCATAAATGTGCACGTCCCCAGTCCCCTGTTATTAAGCGTTTGAAATGCCTGTGAGTTGCTTTTCATGGTCATTTTAGCTCGTTCAATAATGCTAAGAAGTGTAGTCTGCGTTACTGTAATTTCTGTAGTGTTTAGGCTTTAATTTCTACCACAAAATATGCTATATGCTATGTATCAAGCTTTCTGTGATCAGAAAGGAAAGGTGCCTTATATCCCAATGTCACGGCTACATCCCTATTGGAGAATGACCAGAAGCACAGTGTGACGGGAGTGCTGGGACTTCCGTTGGTGAAACAAGACACCGGTCAGCAAGACGCATGGAAGTGGCACGGAGCTGCTTTTGTTTTATGATTCCTTTTCCTCCTCCTTTTGTGTGTGTGTGTGTAGTTTGCTTTAAACAGAAAGCACTTAAATAGATGACTATGTATAAAAGCTCTGTGCAATAGAAATCATTTTTCTCCATTTTTAAAAGAGAACGTATTGCACACCAAATGAACTCAAAGCAAGCTTTAGTCCAGGGCGATTCAGGTTGTGGGTGGTATGTTCACTGTAGTTCCGTGTGTTCATGAACCGAAGGGAAAACAGGCCTTCCTCACGCCTCCAGCCTCCCAGCCTGCCTCCCGGTGACCGCCAAGCTGGGTGTGCAGGGCGCGGCCCGTGGGCTCTGGCTGGAGCTGCTGGCCTGGTGAGGCAGGTGGAGGGGTGTCTGCGATTTAGCAGCTGAGAGCCTTCCCGAGTGTCTGAGACCACAGCCGTCCCTTCCAGCACTTACCTTGTCTTGTCGAGATGGACTGACTGCTACTGACCTGCCAGCGTGCGTGAGGATGATTATAAAAGGATGTTTCCTTGAGGAAAAAAAAATTTATTTCTATCCTCTTTCTATTTATTATTAGGTTAATCATTTGAGTACTTATCAGGAGTGTATTGTTGTTTTGTGTTGTTGTTATAAATGCTTTTTGCTGTCACTCCAGTGGTTACTGTCCTCTGCCTCCTCCCCTCTCCACTCCCCCCAGAAAACCGAAGCATCTGGGGAATTGATGGGGGGGCAGAGGGGGACCCTCCAGCAGAATCAAGCACCTGTCTCCAGAGTGGCCGCTCAAAAACTGGGGGTCTCTATGTGTCTAACTTTTTAAGCGAGAGAGTGTATGAACAAAAATCTACCAACACAAGGGAGTGCCGAGTCGAAGGACACTCGCGCGAGGAGCTGCAGAGGAAACTTAGAAAAGCCAAGTTCAGTTCCCCAAAGCCTCCTAGAGCCTCTGGTAAGACTTCTGGGTTCATGAAGTTGCGGCGAGCCCTGGTCAGAGAGGGCGTGGTGGCCTGGTCAGGACTGTGACTTCCGAGGGAGAGTGGTTCCTTGCAAGGCCCCCCCGGGCCGACAGGTTTCGGTTGGTTTTTGTTGTTGTTTTTGTTGCGTCCAAAGTTGGTCAGAACCATCTTTCGAAGCAGCAGTGTTTCTTAGTACCGGCTGTGGCTTGAGGACTCACGCCCAGGAGGTCATGGGCGGGGAGGGAGCCCCTTCCCCTCTCGTGGGTGTGAGAAAGCTTTCTGGGACTGGAAGCGCAGCCCACAGACCCAGTCGCTTGCCAGTCGGGTGTGAGGGTGGGCGGGGGCCCTGCCCACCCCAAAGTCGGGCCGGACAGCCGCCTCCGCACCCAAGGGGCCTGCCGACGACCCCCGACCCGCTTGTCGGGGCATCTCCCGTGCCATGACTTCTCCCTCCTCTGAAATTGCTGGGGATCCTGAGTCTGTTCTCTCTTTGAAAGCAAGCCCTCCAGGGAAACAATGGCGCCCCGTCCCCCTCAAAAGGAGTTCATGTTTCTCTAATTAGTCTATGCATCTCTCTCTCTCTCTCTCTCTCTCTCTCTCTCTCTCTCTCTCTCTCTCTCTCCTGCCTCTTCCCTTGAGAAAACGGGCATCTCATGTCCCACCATCTGAGACCCCTCAGATAAATGCTGTGCATTTTGGAGACGTGAGAATTCATTCTAAGTTCTTAAAGCATTTGAGAGTAGCTTGCTATAAACTAAAAAGGGGGGCTGGTTTTCTCGTGTCCCTTTCCATTGAGTGAGAGACCTAGCTGTTTGCGTTTGTGCAATAACTACTTGCCGTGCGAGCGGTCGCGCCGCGCCCCGGTCCAGACTACTAACGCAGCACAAGACGCGCACTCACAGGGTGGCGGATCCTTCCTGACAACTCCTCCTAAGCTCAGCGCCCCAGTGGATTGTGGTGTCTTACATTTTAGCAGTATTTTATATCTTCCGTAACGCACTAAGTCTTAGGTGTTTGTAGAGCTTGTTTGTTAATACTCACAATCACAGATTCTTTTTTAAATCCTCACAGACCCAATTGACCAAAAAACACAAAAAAAGGCGTCGTTTTCGTACAAATAGCTTTGAGAAGCCTCTGTTGTGTTGCTGTGACTCATCTCTGATGCCATTTTATTTCTTGCTATTCGTTCTCCACATGAAGAGTCCAAGTTGCCCCGGCTGGCATGGGGGTGGGGGAGGCACCCGTCGGTTCCTGGCGCTGTCCCTTCTGTCTGTGGTTAGCCATACCATGTTCGTTCTCAGCACTGTACAACGGTCCCTATATGATATGGAGAAGCAATATCACTGTATGAAACTCACACCATGTATTATTATTATTCACTAGCACCCTAGGTGTGATAATTGAAGTAAATATCTTTTATACAAACACAAGAATGTGTGGGTTGTTTTTATTTAAAGTGCTCAGGCCCGAGGAAAAGCAGCAAACACTGTCATTCTGGGTCCAAAGGACGCCTTCCCTGAGGCGGCTGTCCCTTCACTGCCCCTGCGGCCTCTGGCGTATGGCTTCCGGGCAGGCGTCGGCGGGAACCTGGGACTCAGGGTAGGACGCGTGGGGACTTGGGCACTGGCGGACCTGCCCGCCCGGGTGCTCCCCGGGGGTCTGCCTTACCTGCTTGATCTTGTCACCCGGCTGTCTGTGTACTTTGGGACCGAGCACCCGCCCTCCCTGGCATCCGCTTCCTCGTCTGGAAAATCGGGACGCCGCCGCCTGCCACATAGGCTTGCTTGGGGACCGGGAATGGTGGCCCGCGGCACTGTGCACAGCCCTGGGCTGGGGGTAGCCGCCCAGTCATCGGGGCTGGGCCGGCCAGAACCCCGGCCAGGTCCCTCCGCCCAGGGGCCCGCCTCAGTCTTCTCGTTGGAGGTCTCGCGGTGTCCCCAAGGTGAAGGACAAGCCAGAGGCGGCAGCTGACGCGAGCGAGGGGGCGCGAGGGACAGTGTGGCTTGGGGTCTCTGAGAGGAGCCTCCTCCTAGACGGCGCTCGGCTGGCGGCGGGAGAGCTCGGCAGAGCGGGCTGCGGGCTGCTCCGCGCTGGTGGCTCAGGGAGTTTCTGGTCTCGGAACTGGCGAGGGACAGAACTGTCTACCCACGGTGACGCGTGGCTCGTTGGAGCAGGAGTGTTGCTTGGTGATGCATTCATTGGGGGGATTTCGGAATGCGAAGCTCCCACCCGTGGTACTGACGCGTGAGCCCTCGCGGAATTCAACTGGATCCGTTCGCCCTCCCGCGGGAGGTCCCAGAGCACGGGGTAGAGACGCCCAAGTGCCCGGTGCCCCGCAGCCCCGTGTCTCATGCAGTCTTTCGGGGACATGGCTGTCTGCAGAGCTGCCCTCAGATGCCGCGCCCGAGGGGCGGGAGAGGGCTACATCAAGCCGCGAGAGCTTTGCCGGTGTGGCTGGCCAACACAAGCCTAGCGCGGCTATCTCTGTTTAGTTAGGCCTCCACTTGCCAAAGATCTGTTAACTCAAAATATAAGATGTTTGGGGGAAAAAGACACTCAGCACCAAGTCTTTTTACCGAGAATGTCTCCCCAAGCACTTTTCAAGTGAGGTTTAATTCAGCAAAACGGCCGTTGCACGTGGTTTGGCGGGGCGGCTCCAGAGGCGGAAAAAGGAAGCGAGATTTCATGCTCTGACCGCGACTGGGTGATGCCCCCACTCCAGGCAACTCGCTGGGCCCTTACACGCTTGGCCTTTCTCCCTTCCCTACGGTTAAGTGGGTCTCAACAAAACGGTGCGCCTTGTCTGACACTCAGAGGAATCACAGTTGCGTGTGTACAGGGTGATGCAAAGTGATGATGAAATATATTAGCGCTGCTGGGTCGTCCACAGCACCCGGTCTGTGTTTCAAGGGCCTCCCGAGGAGCTGCCTGGGGGTGTGTTACACCCGCCCCCCGCTTCCAGCATGCCAGCCTTGGGGGCACACAGCTTGCCGATTTCCGCTTCGGTTCATTTGTTCCCATGAGGTGGTGGAGACCCGGGCCTGCGTGTGGGGACCCAACCCGGGAACTCGGAAGGCTTCGGAGAACTGTTGTGACGTCAGTGGTGCTTCCGGCTGACGGCCCTGGGTCCACGTCTCACCCAGGGTGGGGTGGCCTGCCCCCGTAGACACGGGAGACACAGAGCAGGTGCGGTCTTGGTGCCCGCTGGTGTCCAAAAGCTCAGACTCAGAATGTCGATAGGAAGGGAATTTTTATTCCCCAAGCAAAACCGTTTGTGGACAAGTAACGGCAGAGCTGCCTGTTTGGGCGATGGTGGAGCCTCCGGGTAGTGGGGTTCAAGTTCCCTTCTCATCGTTCAGGGAGGCTCTGGCGTCTCGTGGTCAGGTGGAGCTGGCTGCGGCAGGACCCCAGCTGCGTCTCTGGGTGGCTGGTGACCTTGGGCAAGCCTTAGCCGACACTCAGGAAATCGCTTCTGAAAGAATGAATGAATTTAACTTGTGCTTCCGTTTCTGTCTCTATAAAGGGGGTATAAAATGCCTAACTGGGCTGAGTGTGATGGCTCCCACCTGTAATCCCAGTGCTTTGGGAGGTCTGCAAGCACCCTGTCTGTGTGTGTTTAAAAGCCCCCCCCAGGGGCTGCCTGGGCGTGTGTTGCACATCCCTGCCATCCTGGTGGCCTCAGCCACCACCTGGAGGCGAAGACCCTCCCTGCTCACAGCCGTGGACGGGGGCCATGCCTGCCGTGGGAGGTGCTTTCCTTTTGGTGATCAGTTCGATGCTAGCATCTGCCAAGGCTCGCCTCCACCCATCAAGCCACCTCCAGAAGCCGCCCCTGTTTGGGGGACAAGGAGATCCTCTGGGGCGGTGGTTCTCAACTGGGGGTGACTTGATGTCTGGAGACGTCTCTGGTTGTCACAACTAGACAGTGCCACTGGCATCTGGAGTGGAGGCCAGGGACAGCCCCCACAACAAAGAGCGACCCGGCCCCAAGTGTCAGCCGTGTCAAGGTCTAGGGCATGGCCAGCACAGGTGTGGGTGGCAGTACCGTGTGGCCCGCTAAGGCCCCTCCCTCTTGGGGCTCCTTCCCTGTGCCGAGGATGTGCTCCAGGCTGGCCGTCCACTAGCCTCCAGTTGCTCGCAAGCCCAGAGGGGAGACTGACCAGGGTGTGGGACGGCCAGCACAGTCCTGTCATTTGTATTGAGGGGGGCAGCTGAGCACTGACTCGGCACAGGGGTGGAGGACCCCGTGGGGGAATGGCTTGGAACAGGGAGAGGTGTTTGCCAGGCAGACAGACAGACAGGCGAGGTAGGCCAAGCTGGACAGCGTGTGCAGAGACCAGGAAACAAAGTGGGCCCGCAGGCAGCTGTGCTGGGGACGGCCGGTGCAAGGCGGACACAGGGTGACACCTTCTCACACTGACCACCGCTCTGCCATTGTTGATAAGTGAGCCAGGGCTGGAGGGTGACTGCTTCAGGTGAAGCTTGTTCTTTTCATCTGACGTCCAGAAGGACTCCAGTGTCATGGAAAGTGTCTGCAGCCGTGCTTGAGTGAGGGGCTCCCAGCCGGGGATAAAGTGCCCCGCCAGACCCCTCGAGCAAATACGCCCTCCTGGGCATGGGCACAGGGTCACCTTGGACTGCAGTGCTGGCAGATCTCACCCTCAGTGCCAGGGCAGAGCCTGGAAGGGTCCCAGTGAAGCCTAAGCAGTTTCAGGCGGTGGGACCAGCTGGCCCTGCCGGGCTCTTGCGGCCTGTGTCCAGCCAGCTGAGCCCAACCTGGGAGACCCCGCAGCCCTGGGCATCCTGGTGCGGCCTTCCCCTGGAGGAGACAGAGGCTCCCTGGATAAATACGCTCAGCCTGTCTGTCAATACCTACCAAGGGCTGACCGGGTGCCACTGCCTCGGGCGCTGGGGTTATAGCAGGACCAGCAAGGGGTGTGGCTTCTCGTGGGAGGGAGAGAGAGTAGACATAATAAGAGACCTAGACAGTCACTTGAAAGGTGGCAAATGTTGGCCGGACTCGGTGGCTCAGCCTGTAATCCCAGCACTTTGGGAGGCCAAGGTGAGTGGATTGCCTGAGCCCGTGGGTTCAAGACCCACCTGGGCAAGTTGGCAAGACCTCATCTCTACAATAAACCAAAAACTAGCGAGGCGTGGTAGCGCGCGCCTGTAGTTCCAGCTACTCGGAAGGCTGAGGCGAAAGGATCGCCGGAGCCCGGCAGGTCGAGGCTGCGGGGGCCGGGAGTAGCCACTGCACTCCAGTCTGGGCGATGGAGTGAGACTCCAACTCAAAAAAAAAAAGAAGGTGGCAAATGTTATGGGAGAAAAATGAGGATCAGAAGCACAGGCGGGGGCGCTAACATTTTAAATCAAGTGGTCAGGGCGGGGTTCCCTGAGACACGAACATCTGAACAGTCTGGACAGAGGTAAGGGGATGAACCATGACGATGTCCCAGGGGAGAACATTCTCAGCAGTGGAAGGGCAGGGACAGCGGTCCTGTGATGCGAATGTGTCTGGAGGCCAGCGTGGCTGCCCCAAGGCGCAGAGTGGAGGCCGTGAGGTTGGAGAGACCGGGAGAGGCAGAGCACGTGGGGCCCTGTTGGCCATGGTGGGGGCCTTGGCTTTTGCTCTGGGTGACATGGGAGCCGTTGGAGGGTTTGTGCAGAGGCTGATCTGGTCTCCCTTTTTGGCAGGGGGACGGGAAGTCGGATTCATCGGTAGGGGTAAGGAGGCGGAGTGGCACAGTGGAAGCCCTCAGATTCCAGGGCCCGCCACCTGTCCAGCAGGCCAAGGCTGGGGCTGTATTTTCCCCACCGCCCTGCGGGATGAGCCCCTTCTCAGCGACCCTGTCTTCAGCTTCATCTGCTTTAAAACTGGTAAAGCCTCACTTCCTTGGGAACTTGGACTCGGCCTGCGTAGTTGCACAGCTCAGTGCGGAAGATGACCTGGCCACCGTTCCCTAGGGCTTCCCAAGGCACATACCTGCCTGGAGCTTAGATGAGGGGCAGCACGAGGTCAAAGACATGAACGTCCACTGGAAAGGGCTGTCTCTGAGGTCACTTAGAGCAACCTACACCAGGCCCCTGCTTTTTTTTATTTTTATTTTTTTTGAGTCGGAGTCTCACTCTGTCGCCCAGACTGGAGGGCAGTGGCCGCTC